AAACGTCACTATGAATTAATTCTAGTGGTTCCGTTTTTCTTTCAACCGATTTGAAAGACGTTTTCGTTAGTTTTGCCTCAACACAAACATCACATTTGTGCTTCACATCAATTGTGAATTTAGGAATGTGCTCCATGTTAATTAATCTACGTATAGAATTAAAATTAACATGTCCTAGTCTACCATGCCACACATTGGAAGACTCAAGCAAGTAAGCAGAAGGGATTTTATTATTATTATTAATAATAATAGTCGTTACATTGAGCTTAAACAGCCCGTCACATGCATATCCCTTGCCCACATACATTCCCGACTTGGACAAAACTAATTTGTCCGACTCAAAAACCATGCGGAAGCCATGTTTGTTCAACAACGAACCGGAAATCAGGTTTTTGCGTATTTCCGGAACGAACAAAACTTGGTTTAGAGTCAGCTCTTTGCCCGAAGTCATCTTCAGGACCACCTTGCCCACGCCTTCAACCGCGGAATGAGCCGAGTTTCCCATCCACACCTTCTCACCATTAGATGGCTCAAAAGTAGTGAATAACTCCCGGTTTGAGCAAATATGCCGGGTAGCACCGGTGTCCACAAACCACTCCTTGGAATTGGATCCAACGAGGTTGACTTCCGTCACCACGGCCGCTAGGATGATGTCTTCATCCTTTTGCCCACCTTGCACCAAGTTAACGTGAGAATCTTTCTTCCTCTTTGGTGCCTTGCAATCCGAGGACTTGTGTCCATTTTTATTGCAATTGAAGCATTTTCCGTTGAACTTAGTCTTGGAAATGCCTCCCTTGGGACCGAGCTTGCTCTTCCCATTATTTTTATTTTTGGAGCTTTTTGCATGCTCCACCACGTTGGCCTTGGCGCCGTGAACAATTGGGAGTTTCCCATCGTTCTTCCGGTTATCCTCTTCAATCCGCAGACGGAGGATCAATTGTTCCAAGTTCATTTCCTTTCGCTTATGCTTAAGGTAGTTCTTGAAATCCTTCCAAGCCGGCGGCAACAAATGAATAATTGACGCCACTTGGAACGACTCACTAACTGTCATTCCTTCGTCTCGAATTTCGTTGAAGATCATTTGCATCTCCTCAACTTGACTCAAGACCGTCTTCGAATCCACCATTTTAAAATCAAGGAATCGACCAACAACAAATTTCTTTGCGCCGGCATCCTCGCTTTTATATTTGTGGTCCAAAGCATTCCATAGCTCCTTAGCCGTAGCTAATTTGCTATATACGTCGTACAAAGCATCATGCAGCCCGTTCAACACATAGTTTCGGCAAAGGAAGTCAGAATGCTTCCAAGCCTCAACCGCGTTGAGAGATTGCACATCTACCTCACTCCCGGCTACAACCGGCGCGTCCTCGGTCAAGAAACGTGCAAGACCGAGAGTAGTGAGATAGAAGAGCATCTTTTGCTGCCACCTCTTGAAGTTTAACCCGTTAAATTTATCGGGTTTCTCCACAGAGTTGCTTGGCACGGTAACCATAGGGATAGCCCTTTGGTTCAAAGCAGATGCTCCGCGTTGTGAACTATTGTTCACCGGAGCTCCGCTTTCAGAGTGATTGTCGTTCAGAACATTCTGCCCAACACCAATCTCGTTTTCTTGAGAAGTCATTTTCGTTTTCTTAACGTTTTTTCCGAAAGCACAAAAAATTAAGTTCGTTCACGAAAGTGACAAACTACGTTTTTAAGATTGTACCCGTATGGTACAAGCTTAAGCAAACAAATACGTTTTAAGATTGTTGGGTGTGTTTCGGAAAACAAAGAAAATTAATTAAAATAAATTAATTAATAAAATGACAAAAGAAAACAGAAATGAGATGAAGCAGAAATTTGTCAAAGCTCGTGCTACGCACGATGTCCTTAAAACGTATTTGTTGCCTCCCACGGTGCTAGGAGCGTTGCAACAATAGTTTCCCAAGATACGATGACAACGAACTAATGTTTGAGCACACAAACAAGAGTTCCAACGAACGAGAACAAAAGCTGAACACAAAGGGAATTTTCGGAATGCTGGAGGTGTATTTGAGCTAGAAAACATGTGAAGTTCGTATTGTGTGTTATTGTTTTTTTTTTTTTGTTGCAAACCACCTGCAGCCATTTATAGGGAAGATTTGTTGTGTGTTTAATGGAGGTTTAATGGATATGAACGTTGGTAATCAATGTCCAGCACGTTGGCATTGATTCTAGTCCAAAAAACCGTCCATTTATTGCAAAGGAACGTTGGGCATTTATGGAGTTGTAACGTCCCAGCAGTGGGCTGCGGCAGACGTCTCAGCAGCAGGCTGCTACGGACTGTCCTGCCGGCAGCAGGCTGCTGCCGACTATCCTGCCGGCAGTGGGCTGCTAGAGCAGCCGGCTGCTACCCCATTTCAACGGGCAAACTTCGAAAATCGATATTTCATTCACCCGTTATCCGTTTTGAGTGTACCACGTATCGAATTGTAGCCCTTAACAAGGACAATCCGAAACCACTTTGACCCGACCCGAATCGGAAGTGGACCCCACTCAAAAAATTGCCCCAAAATGACCATTTAATGCAATTTACTAACACATTTTCCAACATATATAAAAGAGAGGTGTTTAAAATGCATGCCTTTTCTAGCCATGGTTGAAAGACAACTTTCGAAAAGGGTCTCTATTGTCATAAGGGACAATGACACATCATTTAATTGTTCAAAAGATTTTACTTGTGCTAGTGGCATCATTTTTCAAACCTCATGTGTGGGAACACCACAACATAATGGCCGTGTTGAATGTACACATCAACATATTCTTAATGTCGCATGAGCATTACGTTTTCAAGCTAATCTATCTCTAACTTCTTGGGGAGATTGCATGTTAACTGTTGCTCATCTTATTAATCATACTCCCTGCTCTGTGTTATAGTTTAAGACCCTTTATAAAAATATTTTTGGTATACCACCCTATTACAAATCACTACAATTTTCTTTTGTCTGTATTATGCTTATAATCTTAAATCCAAGAGCGATAAATTTGCTAGTAGGTAGGCCTGGGACTTGGAACCATAAAACTGAGAAAATTGATTCAAACCGAACCGAAATATCTGGTTCGGTTCCTATAATTTTGGACTTCTGTTTTTTTCGGCTCGATTCCTATAGTATTTGATTGGTTCGGTTCCAGTCTGGTTCCGGTTCCTAGGCAGGAATCGAACTTCTTATACATTGCATGAGTAATCTTCATTTGAGGTGCTTCTTTCTCGGTGGATTTTTTTTAGTGAAACTTTGTGAGCTTGTTTTTCATAAATTATAGATTATGTTCACTAAATTTCAGCTCAAAATTCAACTAGGAAGTCAACTAAATAAATTACTGAAAAACATTACGCCAAAACATATATAAAAACACAATGTTTTTTGAATATTTTATTTAACACATTTCCCGATTGAATTTTAAGCTGAAATTTGGTGGATATAATTTACACTCCATGTAAAACATGCTCACAAAATCTCATCAAAACATTCTACTCATGAGCACCTAAATGAAGGTGGCCAGATGGCGTTCCGGTCAGAAAATTTTTGTCAGAAATATTTGTCTTGCATAATATACCTTATATATTGTGGACAAGACCAATCCGAGTAGTTGCTATTTTACTACTTTAGTCCACTTTTATGTTTATTTATTGTTTGTTTGTAATTGTATTTGTTATTTGAGTTCACCTTAAAACGGAATAATATTGTACTGATTACATTGTTATTGTTTATAGTAAATTACTAATATCACCGATCAGTTTATTACTACGTACTTTTTACTTATGATGATGCAGTGCTCACGTTCCTTCAAGTGTTTCCTGCTGCTGCCAAACAACCGTCGAGCCATGAACAAACTCGCCACATAAGCCATAGCATGAGTCCGACCTCGCTGGAACCCCGACCAAGCCTTAGACATGCTCTTCAGGTCGGCATGAATATGGGTTATTCTCTGCGGGCCGCAATCTTCCTATTCAGGCCCAATGGTCGTTTACTTATTAATCCCGGGTTCTTGAGTTACTTTTAGTGGCCATTTGACAACACTATTTTTTGGTTGTTCAGGCTTATTAGCCCGAATTATGTAAGTTTCACCAAACACGTAACTTTTGTTTTTTCGGTTTTTCAAGCTTTTCGGCTTTTCGGGTTTTCACCAAACACGTAACTTATGCTTTTGCGTGCCGAATTATGTAACAAGCAGAAAAAGTAAGGTTGAAATCATTTTTCTGGCCGTATTGACTGAAGTTCCTATAGATGGCCATTTTAACTATTTTTACATATAATTTTTTCTTTATTTTATTAATAAAATATATTTTAAAAATACTTTTTTCTTAAATCAGCAGAATTAGCCAATGCAGCCATTTCGGCCAGAAATTCATAAATTTCAAACGGGCTCTTAGACTGGGCCGTATGTAAATGGTTGGGCTAGCTAGTCAGAGCCCATAGTGCCATCAATATACATTGTCATTATGAAACTGCATATATATCATAATAATTTTTTCTCTTTACATAATTGATTTGATCAATAACTATTACTCCCTCCGTCCTGCTAAGATTGTCCCAAACACTATTCACTTGGTCAACACAAATCATTCTTAATCTCTTACTTTATATATCAATTTTTTTAATCAAATTTGATTCTAGTTTTTAATGTAGTTTCTGAGTATGTAACTATTTTTTTTCTAAAAAAAATTTGAGTGCGGACATAGATCTGTTTGTTTTATGGTCGGTCAAGAATCGTAAATTGAATTGTCCCAAACATAGTGGGACAGAGGTAGTATATAATATCTCCATCACATAAATTTATCCAAATTTTCTTTTTTGACTGTTTCAGAAAAACATTGTCATTTTCATTTGAAGTAACAAATATTTTATATGTGGCTATTTTTCTCTCCCTTCTGCATAAATCTCAATCACAATTTTTATTTTGTTAATTTATGTGCACGAGAAAAAGTATACTAGTTACCTAGTACTTTATGTTTCATTTTTAACAAATATAGACCGGTTTTATGGCCGTTGACCTTCGGTTCGATTTTGACTACATAACAAAAATCTGCCTTCATTTGAGAAATCAATCCACGCCTCGTTCAGTCGTTTGGCTGCTGCAACACTCAACTTCGTGACACCCAAAACCTCCGCTGCTTCGAACCGCACTTCCATTGAAATAACTCCACCCTCAGCTCCGGCACCGCCCTTCCCTGGAAGTAAGAAAATTTTAGAAGAAGTAGAGGCTTTTTGCCTTCTCATAGAGCTCAAGGAATGGCTCATTCATGTATGACTACAACTCCAATCCCAAAATTCAACCACCCAATCTTCTCCTCAGAGTCTTCCTCATCTTCCGAACGCAAATGCTTTCTTTCTCCCTCCCTCAAACCCTTACCTTTCAGGTCTCTCTTTCTGTGCATTGTTTATGTATACCTTCGAGTGTCCATTTCTGAGTAATTAATTTAAATTGTATTTTATTCTCAACGCTTGATAGGAAACTGATGGCGGTCGGTAAAGTGAGGAGTCCTGCTAAAAATGGTACGGCAAAGGCTTCGTATTCTGGAGCGCATTGGGACTCAGTGAATGTTCCCAGAACTGGGGTTTGGTCTATCAGGTAGGCAGTTTCTTTTTTGTGAGTTATTGAATGTTTTGCATAATTAGTTACTGTGTACTTGATGAGGTGCTGTGAAAATCTAAAATGAGAATACACGAAATGGTTCGTTTTTAAGAGGTTTTGAGATCTCCTCTCTAATGGTTTTACATACTAATCGGTTTGAACTAGGATGCTTTGAAGAAGTGTATCAAAATGTATGCCATGTAAGGTTAAAGAGGTTTTTAAAAACCCTAGTACAGAAAATGCTCCTGTCGCTAACAAACTGGAATGCTTTAATTGGTCCCCTGGGATTCCCATGGTTATATAGCTGGATTGGGAAAAGTTTTGCCGTTTACTGTTTTTTTGTAATCTATGAGCCTTATTGCTTGATATTTACAGAGAAGACTTGCACGTTCCCTCATCACCATATTTTCCTGCATATGCGCAAGGTCAGGGACCACCTCCAATGTTGCAAGAGCGATTCCAGAGCGTGCTTAGTCAGCTCTTCCAATACGTATGAAATGTGCCCTTCTTGGCTTTCTGTTACTAATGTTTGTTTATAAGCCTGTTGCATCTCTTATCTAACCTACACATTAATGGATTTTTAGAGGATAATCCGATGCGGTGGAGCAGTTGACGATGATATGGCTAACGTTATCGTGGCTCAGCTTCTTTATCTTGATGCTGTAGATCCCACCAAGGTCATTATCTATATGTTATGTACAGTCTTTTATTAAATGAACCCCAGAGCAAGCAAATATACACAGGAAAAAGAGAGTTTGTAGGAACTTTACTATGATGAGTGGAGAAAAGAACACTAATCTAATCCTTTTCATGTACAACGAGTAGACTATAGTTACCTTGTTTAACTCTTTAGTTGTATAACTTGTATAAATCAAACAGCTACACTAAATCAGACACAATCATACAACTTTATCTAACAGCTATCTTAGTTCCTACATCAAGACATAACATATACGAAGAAACACATACATTCAGATTCCCTAGTTCAAAGTTCAAATGCCATTAAATTAGTTCACAATGTCACACAATATTTCTATATCTATTTCAACACCCTTCCGGCCTCCCTCAAACTACAGCAGACAAGCCCCACATGCTCAGTTTACACAATTGTCTCTCATTACTTTCTCACAAGTCATAACTGTCTTTGACAAGCCTTAAACAATATAATCATTTAGTGTCGATTTTTTCTTGAAGGAAATGACAATCTACCATCTCATGTTTGGTTCTATTGTGATGGACTGAACTGTGTGCATTACTTGTGTTGGTCTTCTGTCCTCATCTGAACCTGCTCAGTCTGTATCTGTGAAGGCGTCAACGCCTCTATCTTCATTCTTTTAAATGATACCCCTTTCCTGTTGTTTTCTTTAAGTACCTTTAAGTCCTGCAAACTACCTCCAAGCTTTCTTCTTCAGGGCCATGCGTATAATCAAATGACCAAGCTAAGGAAATGACGATCTACCATTTCATGTTTGGTTCCATTGTGATGGACTGAACTGTGTGCATTACTTGTATTGATGCTTGCCTTGGTCCACCGGTTTACCTTTTATCTTCTGCTTGTTCGTCCCCTTTACTTCAACTGCGGTTGCTACAGGTTTACATCTAAGCAACCTGTTTCTTTGAGTAGATCTATTACCTTATGCTGGTATGCTGAATTCCCTGCTTGGATCTCTCAATCTCAATTCCTCGATATCTTATCTCATCAGGATCCTTTACCTCAAATTCTCGATCCAATAAACTTTTACGTGTTTTTAACTCATCTATACAGCTATACTTCTCAATCACTCTGTTGAACCTCTGAACCATGTCAGTGGTGATTTCTGTAAGCCATTGAGAGAATTCCTTTAGTGGCCCACTGTTCATTTCCCATGTTTCCCTTCAAAACCAGGAGGAAGGGAATTCTTGATATCTCTTCTTCCAAGGATTGCATACTTAATATCCGCTTGCTGCAAACACTAGTCAAGATTAGCTACTACTGCTAGGATTCTTATTGTATTTAGCTTCGCAACAGGCTCAAACGTCTCTGTGTAATTCAGCCCACATGATTGAACAAGTCTTGCCTCATGTCTGTCTATAGCCCCATGACCCCATCAGCCTTGTATCTTACACTCTTACTGTCTTACAGTGGATACCACTTGCAACCCATCATATTTTCTCCAGTGATCCGATTACCTCATAAATCTTCTACCACTCAAGAACTGAAAGGGCCTCATCTGTGTTTCTTGGGTGTAGCATACACACTTGGATGCTAAGTGCAGCTCTCTGTAGGTGTAGCATGCATCCTTTGGCGTCTCATATCTCAGGAAATAGCATCACTATTATCACTGTGTCACTGTGAGCCTCTTCACTTGAGTGAACTTCTGGGATATAAAGATTTATATTGGGAAAAGGGGCAAATAAGCCCTCGAACTAATAAAAAAAGTGCAAATAAGCCCTTTTGTAAGAGGTTCTGTCCGATCATCGTCATTTGGGGAGGTTCTCGGTAGAATTTTTTGATGAATTGTTTTGAGCATCTTCTTCATTAAGTCTAGTTTAGCCATACCAAATTTCAGCTAAATATTCAACCAGGAAGGCACTCAAATGATTTTCGGAAATATACTGCGGTGTTTATCTGCGCAGTTATCTTCAAAAATTCATTTGACTGTCTTCCCGATTGAATTTTTAGCTGAAATTCGGTATGACTAAACTAGACTTAATGAATAAGATGCTCAAAAAATTTCATCAAAAAATTCCACCGGGAACCTGCCCAAATGACGATGGCCGGACGGAACCTCCTACAAAAGGGCTTATTTGCACTTTTTTGATTAGTTCGAGAGCTTATTTGCCCCTTTTCCCATTTATATTTTTTGAATGTGAAATCTATAGTCATACATACATCTAGTCACATGATTGTAGCTTTTGTGACCTTAGTATGTCTGACATGAAAGCATTGTATGTCTCTTTAGATGTCCCATATCACAATAAATGAGTTTGAAGGGATGGAAAGCTTTGTATGGATGAGACAATGACCAATAGTACGACTGTACGAGTATGTTTAGCAAATACACGCATCTCACAGTCAAGCATGCCTAGGTTTTATTACGAAATATACTAGGAAGCAAATGTTTTAAACAAGGAAAACTAGGATTGCCTAACCGATTATGCACCCTTTTAATCTCATCATCACAAGAAACACTACAACTAAATCTCAAGTATTTATAATCTCGAGCTGGGGATAGATATTTTATTTACGCTTAACCTGTCATCATTACACAGCAAAATAATTGCACTCACACATGAAACCGTATCTACATCACTACACCAAACCAATTGCTGAGTAAATAAATGAATCTTCTGTGAAACATTAATGATTTAATGCAATACATTCTTCTTTTCATGCTGGTATTGCTCATCACGTGGTGTGGTTTTCATGAAATCTCAATTAGTGCATGTTTGATTCTTTTATCAAGTATATGCTTATATTTTGTGATATCTTTTATAAATGCATGTAGCAAGCCTGTTGCTTGATGCTATTGTTCATCTCACGAACATATCTGTTCTAAAATCTTAAAGAGGAAATTCCCCAAATAGGACTACATGAAACTTTAATTGCAAGAATAGGAATATAATTTTAAATATCCCTACCCTTGCTTTGTTTTAATACAATTCATATTCATTAATAATTAAAACATAAAAGTAATAACATAACTTTAGCTATAATAAAAATGTAAAAAAAATAAAAACATGAAAATAAATATTAAATAAATCAATTTAAATTAAAAATATAAAAAAAAATTACGTAGTATAAAATTTAAAATTTTTAAAAAATAAAACAAAAATTTAAAAAGGTTAAAAAAATACGCAGGCCTCTGCTGTTGCCTCAACAACCTCCTAACACCACCAACTCTGACCACCAGAAAAAAATGCCAACTTGTGCTAGTAATGCCATCTTGATGCCAGTTTTAGAGAAAAATTTGGCATTTTCGAAGAGTAAAAATGCCAACTTGTGTTAGTCATTTTTTTTTACACAAAATGGCATTATTTTGCTGATCAGAGGTGGCATTGCTCATTGCTGGGAGGTGGCAGAGGCTGTGGGAAAGGCCTCCATATTTGTTTTATATTTTTTAATGTGTTTTATCCACATTTTTAATTTTTTCTTTAGATTTTTATTGTTTTTAAATTTTTATTATTGTAATACTTTTTAAAAATATTTTGTGGTTTTATATTTTTTTACGATTTCATTATAAATTAAAATTTTTTATTTATTATCTTTATGTTTTTTATTCAAATTAAAATATGATTTTCCTACTCCGTATCAATTATGGTAAGGCTAGAATAATAAGATAGAGTATACTTTTGTCCTATTTTGGGAAGATAAACAACAAAGTCCTCCTTGTGCATTTAGAAGTTAGTTTACTCCTATTTAGGGTTTTTTTCCCAAATGATAAAGGATTCTGCAACTTCTTAGCATCATTTTATTGTGATTCCTATTCCGATCTTCTCAATATATTGGCTATTGGCAGGACATTGTTATGTATGTCAACTCTCCAGGAGGATCAGTTACAGCAGGTGATAATATTTGCATTTTCATAATCATCTAGTGTTCTGCTATCATACCTATTCCTTTCTTTTGCTTCTGTTTAAGCTGCCTCCTACGCTATATCAATGGTTCCCATTAACATGTATCCATAGGTATGGCCATCTTTGATACCATGCGGCACATCAGGCCTGATGTCTCTACAGTTTGTGTTGGACTTGCAGCAAGGTAGTACCATTTTTTTGGAACTTTTTTTTTTATTGATCATTAGGTTTCATCATGTACTGGACGTAATGCAAATTTAATTTGTGAACTTGGGATACCGTGTAACTCTTATGGACACCTTGATTGCATTTTCTTTGTGATTTGTGTCTGAAGAGTGAAGACGGATATAAATATTTCCCTATTTGCATGTATATGTGTATATATACAATGTAATAAGAGGAGCAGTAAGATCAAAGGCCAGGAGGGAAACAACTATAGTTCTACAAGTGTATAAATACAGCTATATTCCACAGAAACATTAGACGGATTAGTCTTCCTGTCCACTTTTGGTCTCATTAAGTTGAGAGCTGTAAAGGGTTCAGAACATGGAAGCTTGTTGTTGAATATGAAATTTAAAGTTCAATGTAATACTAAAGCTAATGGAAACCTTTTAGGGCATAACTCCACCAGCAAACATGCTTGACAAGTAACCCACTCAAGTTTCTTGATAGGTGTTGCTCACTTCGAATCGTTATGCAACTCAAGGTGTCATGTAATGCATTCATGCTATGATGATTCTATTCATATGATTAAAAGTCGATTTTACTTGGCAGGCCTATTCTATGATTCATGACTGTTATTATGCACTGAATATTTTTGTTCATTTTTGTTTGAATTGAAAATGATCTATTGATGTGACTAACCGTGGGCTTTATTAGAAAACCCCAGCCCCACCCCCCAAAAAAGTCCAACTTGCAGTACGTAGGCCGGATGATATTGATGTGCACTGTTGCTATCTACTTGTGATATGTGTTTGAAGAGGCATAACAAACTAGCTCTTTCAAGTTGAACTTTTCAAAATTTCAATATCTTGTAATGATTACTTGGCTAATCTTTTGCGGATGTTCTACGCTGCAGTATGGGGGCTTTTATTCTCAGTTCTGGTACAAAAGGTAGATTGAATGCATATCTTGGATATAAGTTCCCTCAATTATTTTCAAGTACTTATTATATATTTCCTGAGAATCTTTCTGGATTTGTGGGACTTACTGAAGGAAAAAGATATAGCTTGCCGAACTCCAGGATAATGATTCACCAGCCTCTAGGTGGTGCACAAGGTGCACAAACTGATGTAGATATACAGGTATGCTATGGACTACCTTTCCCCACCTATCATAGAAGTAGCAAATTCTTTTCTCTAGAACCGAATGAGTCATTTTTATGTTTGTAGAAAAATGTAATGTTACAGCCCTATTATGTTTTAACTTTTCAGGCTAATGAAATGCTTCATCATAAAGCTAACCTGAATGGGTATCTTGCATACCATACTGGCCAGAGCCTGGACAAGATTAATCAGGACACGGATCGTGACTTTTTCATGAGTGCAAAGGAAGCTAAAGATTATGGGCTAATAGACGGTGTCATCATGAATCCAATGAAAGCCCTGCAACCTCTAGCTGTGGCTTAATCGTTACTCATCACTGCAGCATACTACAAATGAATTAATAGGCTTTGAAATGCACGGTTTTGTATTACAGCGGGGAGCGAATGAATTATTATTGCACACACATTGTAGTATCAAAAGCTTTATACTCCCAAAATTGGAGTGCACTTTTTTCATATTTCCATTGTCATCCCGATTTCAATCCCTGTTTTTCTTGCATGTATTCAAACTTGGTATACTCTGTCGTAGAGGCTAATGATTACTGTTTCTGGACTCGATTTGAATATTGTATTCCACGAGGATTTAGTAATATATTTCTTTACGTAATGGGAAAAACAAACACTGCTAAATGGCATAACCTTGAACAATTATATAAACTCAAAGATAAATTATCTTGTATGACAAATAAAAAACAAGAATTATAAAGTGCATAAGAGAATGAGTTAATTCCCTTATGCACAAATAGGACTGCATTTTTTAAATTCCCTTAATAGGACTATTTATGTGTGTTTGGACAAATATACCCTTGTAACTTGTGAAATACTTGTATTTTAATTAATAATAAAATCATAAAAAAATTAATAAAAATCGAAAAAAATACTAAAAATCGTAAAACAATAATAGAAAATTAATAAAAATATTTTCTAAAAAAAAACATTTTTTTAAAAAATAAAAAATAAATAAAAAAAATCATAAAATTAAAAAAAAAAACATTACCACCCCTGCCACCCCCCAGCACCACCATCTCCCATCACCGGAGAAAAATATGCCAACATTTTAAATAATGCCATAATGATGGCATATTCAATGAAAATGTTGGCATATTGAAGAGTAATTATGCCATCTTTTTGGCATTTTCAGAAAAATATGGCATTTTTTTACCAAAAGTGGAAGAAATTTCACCAATCGGAGGTGGTGGTGCTGGGAGGCGGCAGGAGGCGGTGAGAAAGGTATCCATAATTTTTTTCATTTTTTATGGGTTTTTACTATTTTTTATAATTTTTTTAAAAAAATTAAAAAAATAAAAAATTATTTTTTTTATTTTATAAATGTTTTATAATTTTTTTATAATTTTTTTTACGTTTTTTAAATATTTTTTTACTTTTTTTGTGATTTTATTATGAATTAAAGCATTTCATTATGAATTAATACTCTTAGGGGTATTTAGGGTAGAAAATCAATGTTTAGTCCTATTTAGGGAATTTTAAAAATAGTAGTCCTATTTGTGCTTTTTAGGAACTTTTTAGTCCTATTTAGGACAATTTCCGTAAGAGAATATATCCGCATCATCTTCATCCCAGTAATATTTTGTGTGTACACAAGCAAAAAATGTTATAGAAAAGTTAGGGTTGGGTTGGGAGGAAACCAATGCATATGTACAAACAATTTTTTGTCCGTATACAGACAATTAATGTCACCTGTGTATATAGACATTGGTTTCCAACTTTCCATGCAACCAAACTTGACATTTCCGCATAAAGTACACAAATCAATGTGATTCACACGCAAACCAATGTTTGTATACAAACATTAGTTGACTGTATACAGACAAAAAATGTCTGTACTCATACATTTTATTTTATTTATGTGTAATATTTTTGTTTGTGTACATAGACAACTTAACTTTGTATATGTACAGACGTTTTTTATTTGTAGCGCGATTTTACAAAATTTACTAGTTTTTTAGTTTTTATTTTTTCTTACAGACTGATTTTATCAATATTTGGTATGACATCAATAATATTTTATAAATGATAAAGACAAAATTCTGATGTGTGTTCATCTCGGATTATTCCAGTGATTTTTCGGTGACTCAAATTTCATTTATTTTTTCCGGTAACATTCTCAAGCGACTCAACTCCGACGATGATGAAGTAGGCAAGATTGAAGGACATGAAGATGGAAGATGAATAAGATGGAAATGGTGATTGGTGAAGATGAGCGATAATGAATATGAAAGATGATCAGGGCTGTCTAGAACAAATTTGGGGCCCTAGACAATGAAATAGATTTTTTACATTTCATTTAAATATCTTTTGTTTATCAACTATATATAAGTAATATTGGTTGTACCATGCGGGGTTGTATAACTTGGATCCATGGAGAAAATTATTTTCATCTACAAGTTTTCATATAACTCTTACTTAACCATTAATTCTATTAAGATATCAATTGTTATTTTTCTTTATACCTCTTGCAGCTTCCATAGATGAAATTTGTCACTCGAATTAAAAAAACTTTGTAGGAGTTATGTTAGATATTATGACCCTATAATATCTTTTATTGTTTTAGAGTTAACATGTTGGTTCACTTGGTTGGATCCTTTTCTAATGCCTTCATATTCAAAAAGTTCAAATGCAAAAGTCCCTAGGCCCGTGAGGATGGGTCACCTAATCTCTAAATGTTAGATCACATTTTATACATGTTGATCTTTAGTTCTTTACTCTCACACTTAACACAGAGTTTTCACAATAATACAATTCACTCTGGAAACTGGACAACTTCATGGGTAATTTCATAATTTGGGTGCCCCGTGCAACACACGGGTGAAAGACTAATTTAAAATATTTAAATTAAGTTTAATCATATGTAGACTAGAAATGTATAAAAATCATTATCAAAATATAATATCTCGAGTTTTAAAGACATTTTTGTTAAATATCCCCATCATCGTCATCATGATCATGATGATCATCATCATCATCGTCGTCGTCGTCATCATCATCACCACCACCACCACCGCCGCCGCCACCACTGCCGCCACCACCACCACTGCCGCCGCCACCTCCACCACCACCACCACCACCACAATAATCATCATCATCATCATCTAAGTCGGATATAATGTAGTCTGATCTAGGATTGTAAAACATTTAAGTGAAAATACCCATTACACATTTACACTATCCAAGTTTAAACATGACTAAAAATGAAGTCTTCCTAAAATATTACGGAGTACTAAATAAAAATCTATGCACAAAAATATGTTTGTACCTTACTATGTGTAAATTTTATAATCACTAAAATGCAACATTTGAATGCAATTATAGTTACTAAAGTTATCAGTGTCACATTTTGTCATTTATTTTTATTTTGATTATATATTTAGAATTATTTCTTAAAAAATTACTTATGGCTATTTATATTTAAAATTAACCTCGCATTCTAAAGTATATATGAGAGACATTAATTTATAAGAAGATACAATTGGAAATTTAAACTATACCCATTAATTTGGAGAATTTCATTCAGTAAGAGACATTGACTTTTAATTAGAGAAATTGTAATTTTAGTCATGTAACTTTCAGCTATTATGGTTATTAGTCCTGTAATTTTAAACGTTTACAAATTTGGTCCCATAACTAATGAATTTTTCTAAGTTAGGGATTTTTTTAACAGAAAGTACACTTTGCGCCAAAAAACCCAACGAGGACAACATCTTTTCGCGTATACTTTTATCAGAAAGTGTACTTTTATGGAGAAAGTCCTTCAAACGCAAAGATATATTAGTTACCTAATCAACCATGCAAGTGACTAAGTTACAAGACTAATAATGAAAACAGTTAAAAGTTATGAGACTAAAATTACAAATCTCTTTTTTTATATAAAAGAAATCTCTCTTTTAATTAAAATACCAATAAATATGTTTTTAATATTATCATGAACGAAGATAAATACCTTGTAAGTCTAAAAGTCAAGAACATTTTTATATATAGATAATCTTCATATTCATCATCTATTAGATAAGAAGGTTTTGAAGAATATTTAAGAACATTATAGTGTGTGAGCGAGCGTGCGTGCGTGTGGGGCGCGCGAGTGGGCGTGTGGGTGGGTGTGCCGGGGGGGGGGGGGGGGGGGCTTTAAGTAGCTGTCAAAAAACAGCTACAGATGATTGTCAATAAAACAATGTTCAGTCAAAACAATGAATCAATAAAGAGAGGTGCACCTAGAGATGGCAACGAGGTTGATCGGGACAGTTATACATATAACCGTATCGACGGTATCGTGCCATTGGACAATTTCACCATCCCGTAACCACTCCATTACCTGACGGGTAATTTTTATTCAAACCATAACTGCCCAACGGGTAACGGGGTTAACCGTGGGTAACTGCTTTATTGAATGAATCATTAATATTTTAATACGAAAATGATTATTTTAAAAGGAGAAAATTGGCATCATCTAGACGACCCTAGACGTTAGATGTCACATAATAGTTTTGTTACTTTCATATATTTACAAGACGAGATAGAAGGAAACCTAAATTAATTTGAACCTAAAAATACTTAACCTGAAAATATTTAATTACAAAAAAATCTGATAACAATCAAACAAGACTATTAAAATCTATAATGAACTTTCATTCATACACTATAGCTACTACATCCATTATCCATATACATGATGAAAAGAGAAAAATATCTATCTTTTATTAGTTGTGGGACAAATCATACAATAATGTAATAAAAATATAACTAAAAATAAACGGGGCAGATACGCGGTGGGTAATTGGGCAAACATGTATAAAACCGTAACCACCCCGTTACCTGTAAAAACAAAACTTGTATTCCCCGCCCCGTATCCATGATACGGTCAATGCGATTTTCCCTATTTTGATTGGGGCGGTTCAATTCGAGTATCCATCATTCCATCGGATCATCAATTGCCATCCCTAGGTGCACCCAGCACTTTTGGAGGCGCAATATATTATCTCTCTATTCCCGTAATTACAATACATAAATAAATAAATGTAAAAGAGTGATGATCTGAACAGGTAACAACTAATTGATCCTATTGTTGAGGCAAATTCTCCCTCCCTCTAACGGCTGCTTCCATCCTCTTAAAGTTTTCTTCTTTGATTTGTATCCATTCTAGCGATCAGTCATCCCATTCAGGTGATTTTCCCCCCTTAACATATCTCAATAATTCTCATTTCATACTTTTCATTTACCCGGCCAGTTTCATGTTTCTTTTCTGATCTAGACATATGTTTCATAATGATTTTGATTGGCTTTTGTTAAATCTTACATGACAATATGACATGCACATACATGGCCTGATGGCCTGGATTCATAATTACTTGGTTCTTCTCCTAAAAATTGTTTGTTCTATAGAATAGACATTTGATTACTCATTTCTTTGTCACTGTTTGATATATTCACGATATTTAATTTAAAAGATCTCAACATTTTGTACACATATTCACGTTCCTTATGAAATATGAGCATATATAGTTCAATTTCGTTTCGTTTCCCTTTACTTGCATAATACAGTTCATTGATGCATGACATGACCAAAACGATTCCATATCGAGGGCCTAAAGTAGGACTACTCAAGGGCTGAGCCGGTACAAATAATAATTTTGACAAAAATCCAAACACGAAGTTTTTACCTTAAAAAGTTACACATTTTTTAAATTTGAGGTGGGTCAGGGCCTAGGTTGGCCCCACCTAGATCCGCCCATGGGATAGAGTCAATCCCATTCCCAGTAAGGTTAGGGGAAGAAACAAATTAAGTCAAGTCCGGTCCTATTTTTGAGGAAGCGAAACAATTTGCATAAGTTCCCGTCTGGAACTGAAAAAACAGGAGCTGGTTCAATCCCTTTTCATTCCTGCTCCTGGTCCGGTTACGAACCAGAAGCTGGTCCACCCCTAGCCTGAGGCAGCAATGTCGCCTTGACACACACAGACTGACAAGAGGAATTGGATCAACGTGGACACCACAAGGCCAGGTGGACCCACATTGATCCAACAATTCTCATGCACCACAAACCTTGCTCGGTGCGAACGATGATGCATAGGACTCAGATTCATTAGTTCATTACTATCATTGTTTTTCAATGTGGCGGGGCTCAGTGTCGTTTTGGATGTTAAGATTTTGTATATAAGGTTGTGCAGAAGCAGAGTGGAGTTTGAAAGATAAAGCAAGAGTAAGAGACAAAAATGGGTGCTGGAAGGGTTCCCCATCTGGAGCTAGGAGGTCCATTGTTCTACAAGGAACTTGCCATGGGATTTACATTAGGTCTTGCTGCAGCCTACGCTTGGAAGGCCAAGCATCGGGAAATGCAGAAAAGAACAAAGGCTTTCTATGAGCAGCTCGACAGCGGTCACATCTCCGTGGTTGGAGAAGACTACTAATATAAGTGAGCCACCTCTTATATATACCTAATAATTATAGCAGCAGCAACACCACATGTTTTTCTTTCCATTTCATTCCATCACACCTCATTTTACAAACACATTTTTGGAAGTTTAGGCTTGCATTTCTAAGAATGGAATAAGCAAGCTTGGGGTTTTGCTTAGAAGCTCAAATGAACAATTTATTGTATTTAAGGAATGCAATCACATTTGGTCTGTTTTATCTACAGTTGAAAACGAACTTTATTGATTTATTCTGTAACTTAACAAAGTACATAAAATGTTCCTTAATGGTGAAGATTCAATAATTATATTTGAGCCTCCTGACTAAAACAAAAAGTACAACTCCGTCCCAAAAAACCAGTCATCTTCAAACACTAAAACGAATATCACAAATACGACTTCTTTTTTGAGTTTGGAAGGATGTAGCACAAAAGAAACTAAATCATAACATGGTTATAGCACCACAATGGTTCATAGACACCAGTGAAGGAACCCAAATTTCTCATTGAGTTTCATTAAGGAAAAATGAGAATAAATAGTATTCTGCGGTATTTTGTATATACTATGGAGTAATATATGCCACCTTCTTATAAAGGTAGGTCTCATGTGAGACTATATTTTCCGAAACCCTCATTTCCTAGGACAAAGTTGAAGCTTCCTTTTATGAAGCAACAAGTCAACAACAAGGAAAGAAAAAAGAAACATAAATGGTGTCTGTACCAAATAATAAGGACCATGATACACGTCAAGGAAAGGTTATGAAATAGTTCAGGGAATTGTAAGACTATCTCCAATTTACCTTCAAATTATGCTACCCTCATGTATTCACTTTGGGCCTCAGGGGTAAACCTGAGATATATTATCATTCCCTGAATGCTACCCTATCCATCTCTCTACATATATATCATTTCCCAAATAATAATATACGACAACAGAGAGCAGCGCTACAACGACAAATGTGCATTTATAACTCTTCACTGGCTGTTGACTCTTCGGAGGTCACTTCAGTGGGAGGAGTTTCATTGTTGTTTAATTTTTCAAGAATTTCGGCTGCAGTCTTGTATACTTGTTTGATGACTTCAAAGGAAGAAACTGCACCACTGGCTATAGTTTCCTCCTCGGGGTCAGCAGCATACAATCGTTCAGGAGGAGGTTCTTTCAGATGGAGAACCTCAAGAACGTACTCCATCCCATTCACCAAATCATAAAGCATAAGGCCAAATCTCCCCCCCACCCAACTGCCCAGCTCACTTCCGACAAAATACCCAATCCTTCCAAAGCTCGCCTCCCCAAGAAAACCAACATAATAGGTGCCAGACAATGTACCCATGCTCCTTAGAACTGCTTCAGTCATCGTACCCCCCAAGTATATTGCTTCAAAAAAATCCCATCCTGATGAAATGATAGGGCCGACAACTCGATTCGCTTGTCGCTTTGCTAGTTTGGCAGCTTTTGCACCTTCTAACTGGATTTGCTTAGCTGTGATGGTTTTTGCTTGAGATATGGCATCAGCCAGAGCCTTTTCGATTGCTAAATTCTTAGCTTTCTCGATGTGTGCACTTCTTATATTGTAAAAGTATAGCTTTACACCCTCCTTAACAACACAAGCTAGGGTTCCAGTGCCCCCATCCAAGCAGTTCAGAATATTAAAATCCCCACTTTTGGATGCTGCCTCTTTGCCGACCACTTCCCTACATTTTTCGGCTATGAAACAAGCAAACACCACAAGGAATTTACAAATGGCAATGAAGAGGGCAAGCAAATACGTGCAAAATAGGGTGTATGGTTGGAAGGTATACCTTTTCCCTTCCCTTGTTCATTCTTCCCCATTTACAGTTAGTTCTTATGTTTAGTGCAGTTTCTTCCTCAATCAAATACATTGTTCTAAAAATCGGCCCAGTCGGATAGATAAATCAGCCTAGTCAGCCAAAAAATCGCCGTGGTCAGCCGGCTAGGTGCTAGACACCCCTCAACTGCCCGACTAGCACCTAATGAGTTTTATAACAATGGTCTAATATGAGGACAAAAAAACTAGCCGAACCTTAGTCCTTTTTACCCTTCTTTTTCCACGGACCCCAACCCTTCCAAATTTCCTATAACCAAAACTAGAAAACTCAAAATCTTTCTCTACAGTCTACACCTCACATATTATTCTCCGCTCCATATTCCTTGCTTTCAACCAAAGTTTAGGAGAAATGGAGAACTAACACATTGTACATTTGCACTTTCTCCGTACAAACTAATGATAAGCAGACAAGCTTATCTCGAGAAGAAAAATATCTTATGTTTCTTCTCTTGCACACCACTTCCGTGTTTCCAAAAACTTTCCTTCCCTGAAGACAATCACACACTTTTAAGGATTTCCTTTATTTTTCATCATGATCTTGAGTGCAGTGGAAACTAAAAAATAAAAAAAATAAAAGAACAAAAACAGAAAAAGCTAAAGTATAAGACAAAAGCATGTTTACATTCAACTCTAACCTATTTGGCATCCAAGTTAAGCCTTGTAAATTTCTAAAATTAGACAAAGCTCATTTTTATCCTAACATTGAAAAAAGTTGAAACCTTAAGATTTAGGTAGATTTATGAAATCTACACAGGTGTAAGTCGAGGTACCAAATAATATAACACAGAAAAACACTCTCCCCCTCCCCTACTCCCTCCATTGAACCAAACAACCCTAAGGTCTTAACGAAGAATGGTGTCCACCACACTGAGTTATTCATTTAATTATTGACATGAGATTATTTTTGGGCAGTATTAGCCAAACCAATCTTCTTCAAGTTATTTGTTTGCAAAAAATAGGACTCGGGTGCCAAACCACAAGCTTCTACCCTCCATATGAATCAAACCGATTTCTGCAACGCATGGTCTAAAATCATTTGAGGTGAAATATGCAAATTCTTATTCTACGTCCTATTACAGTGCTGATCATTACCATAAGATAAACTCAGAACCACAAGACAGGCATTGAAATTCTATCCTTCTCTCCACCATTGGACAATGATAAGGGAAAGTAATGATGGTCTAAAAGACTAAAATCATTGGAAAACAAAAAGGAACCCGCTCTTCAAACAACGAGTTTATATTTATTGCTAGGCCTTGACCCGCTGGAAATTAAAACGAAAAAATAACTGGAGCAATAGGAAGTTTCTTAGGTCAGATGCTAAGTAGCATGGAAACATGGAACGGGAAACGCGAGAAACGAGTTTTTAAAAAATATAGGATGTAAAACATGGTTGAAACGCGCACATATTAAAAATACGAGGATATATTTATAAAAAAGAAAAAGATTGGAAACTCAAAGTTTCCCAAGCTCTACTTATTTAGGTTCTACGTAATCACAGAAATGGTCCAGAAACAGGAACTGAAGTTTCTGATTTTCCAACACGCTTCCAAGTTTTGAGCTTTGATCAGTTTCCATGCTAGATAGGTAGATAAATTAGGAATAACTAAATTGCATTCCTCTCTTGATAAGAGGAATTTTGAAATCGATTCCATCGAGCTTCTACTTTGTTATGACTTACGAGCTATTCAACTCGTCTTAGCCTGAAAATGTTAACGCCGCTCTGAGATTCCTAGGCAGGAATCTGAGATACCCCGGGCTGAAGAAAAAATTTACACTAAAATAATTGGGAAAAAAAAATCAAGTTACTCTGGGCTTCTTCAGCCAACGGTAGCCTATACGTAAATCCTCCACCTGTTCCTAGCTTCCTAGGTCGTATTGCTACTCATCAGTCATCACTAGAAACAACTAAAACGGCCATTCTCTAACCAGTGAAGTTAACTCATCAAGAATTTATTCAATAAAGACGAATACCCTATTAGATGAATCCATTTCGTTCGGGAAAACTTTATTTTAGAAGGGAAAAGCAGAGTTACCTGTGATGCTCAGAAGGGCGATGATGAAGACGGCGAGGAGGAATTGAACCCTCTTCTTCTCAATCATTCTTAGCTTCAATTTACCACTACAAAATAAGATGCTAGTTTTCAATTATTAAAGGGCAGCAGTTCGCTGGATTGAAGTTATTCTTGACTTCGATGGCGAACTTGGAAAAGAATAGAGACCGGAGAACACTCCATTGAAAAGTCACAACTGTTTTTTACGACGTTTTAAGTGGTCCGTCTGGCCTGTTTAGTTGGTGTGTTTTGGTCCTTTTGGACCTTTTGGTAGACATTTGTTTAACAGGTGTATTTACAATCAATAAAAAAAGGCAGAATCGCCTGCCCCACGCCCGACTCGATAGAATGGTTGAGCAAGTCATGATATTATCTCAAATGGTAATTGAGTAAGGTGTTTCAGAACCTGATACACATATCCCCAAACCATCACATTGGATAAAATTCTTCCCCGGAGATTGAACTTAAAACCTCAATCCAAGAATCTCGGTTATATTTACCATTGTCAATGGTTTTATCGGTTCGATCTATTCAAGTCCGATATACCATGAGATTACATAATATTTTTGCTTGTTTAATTTTTTTATTTAATTGTAAAAACTTGATATCTTGTCTCTTTTCCAATTGAAAATTACTCCGTACTTTTGTATGGCTCTTACACTTGTCCATACTTACACTTTTGGATGAGATTCATCATTTTATGAAATTATTTATGAATATGTAAAGTGATATGCCGAGTAATGTTATTCTTTAAAGGGAAAAATGGGCAAATAAGTCCTTGAACTAACAAAAAAAGTGCAAATAAGTCCTTATATAGGAGGTTCTGTCCGGCCGTCGTCATTTGGGGAGGTTCCCGGTGGAATTTTTTGAGCATCTTTTTCATTAAGTCTAGTTTAGCCATACCAAATTTCAGCTAAAAACTCAATCGGGAAGACAGTCAAATGAATTTGTGAAGATAAACAACACATTATATTTCAGAAAATCATTTGACTGCCTTTCCGGTTGAATATTTAGCTGAAATTTGGTATGACTAAACTAGACTTAATGAAGAAGATACTCAAAAACATTCTATCAAAAAATTCCATCGGGAACCTCCTCAAATGACGATGGCCGGACAGAGCCTCCTATATAAGGGCTTATTTGCATTTTTTGGTTAGTTCGAGGGCTTATTTACCCATTTTCCCTTCTTTAAAGTGATCCAAGAATCTAAAAGATACTACGCACATAGTATTTTTTAGATGCAACATGTTCTTAAATTGTGCTCCCTTCATCAAGCTAAATTGTCTCATTTTTTCATTTTGGTCCGTCCATTGACATTGTCTTTAAATCATTTTTTTGGTAAAATTTTTGTGGTTCTAATTCAATCTTTTTTTTGTTCTTGTTTTTTCAATTAAATATCAATCACATAAATACACGTTTCTTAATAGGGGAAATTTGAATTTTCACCTCCATTTTATTGCCCAAATTGAACTTTGCATCTCGTTTTTAAAAATCTTTGTTTTTGTACCCAACCCCATACGAAAAGACAAAAATACCCCTCGATCAAGAATCTGTTGAACGCCAACAAAATTGTTATTGGAGGTGTACTTTTGTCTTTTCATATGAAGTTAGGGTGCAAAAACAATTTTTTTTAAAACGTGATGCAAAGTCTAATTTGGACAATAAATGAGGTGTAAACTCAAATTACCTCTTCTTAATAATCATATTCTCTCCTCATGCCTCAATGCTATCTGATTGGGTAGTATGATTTATATGCTATATTTCAACTATATTTTATTTATTAATGTATTAAAAATTCAAATTTTGAATATCTTTTTAAATTTTGTCTTTTTAAATTTTTTCAAATTGTGTGCTGATAAACTTGAAATGAAAACGTTGCAACTAAAAAAGATTAAAATCGGCCCCATAATAAAAGGCATTTATTATTTGAAAATAAGGGGCAATTTGAGTTCGCACCCCATTTTGTTGTCCAAATTAGCACTTGCACCTCGTTTTTGAAAACCTTTGTATTTGCTCCCCAACCCTGTATGAAAAGACAAAAATGCTCTTCATTAACATTTATGTTGGTCTTAAACACATTCCTGAGGCATTTTTATCTTTTCAAATGGAATTGTGTGCGGAACACAAAGTCTAATTTGGACGATAAAATGAGATGCAAACTCAAATTGTCCTGAAAATAATCATTCACATAATAACAAATGGCTGCTCTGATAAAACGCTATAAATCAAGTTTATCAACCGTGTAGGCTCGCTCATAACAGGGTGACGAGTGATGATCTGAAACAACAATTTCAAAACTTGAACAAACCGGAAGAAGCCGCGTGAATGGGAAGAATTGGGAACCGTATCTGCCATGGCCGCTTCAGCAAACGGCTGGCAACATCACCACCATTATCATCACGAATTCCCACTTCCATATCCGTATTCTCGCTCGTCTGATTGATCACTTCATTCAAACACTTCAGCCTTTCACCCAACTCCAACTCCTGAGCTCTCAGAACACTGTTCTGGCCAGCTACAACCGCATACCTTTCGTTCATCTCATCTATCTGAACCGCAATCTCACTGTTCGCCGCCTCTAATCTGCCGATTTCCGCCGTCACGTCCGCCACGAGCTTCTGCTTCTTCATCCTTGACCTCCTCGCGGCTTCCCGGTTCGAAATCATTCTCTTCCTTCTCTTTTCTTCCTCGATCCTCCCTTCGTCTTCTGAACAAGTGCTGCTCCCGCCCTTCCCTGTACCTGACATTTTCGATCTATATGTTTGAAGCACTGCTTTCGAATTGTAACGAAGGATCGATGAAGAAGAAACTGTATTATTCAGAAACTGGAGCGGCAAACAGGTGATTTTACAGGAATTTAACCGATTTAAGTAATCGATTGCGTTTTAATGTTTTGATGCGGATGAAGATTTTGAATTCTACCGAACTGAAAGAGGAAATCACGAAAAACTTTCAACGGTAATTGGATTAGACAAAGCGATTTGGATAAAGGCCCCGGAAATATTTAAACGATCCAGACGATGAAGAGAAGGTTACGTTACTCAACTTTCAATGTTGTATTTCTGGTAATTTGATAGAGAGGAATGGATGTTCTTGATACAAGTCAATTGGTCCAATTTGGTTGGAAATTGAACAGCTGTTTCGACTTCCTAATATGAATATTCAGTAGGTTTAAATATAATCTAATAGATAATCCTTATCCATTTGGATTGTACTGAACTAAACCACAGAGTTAGGTCCATGTTTATGCATAATTAAATACTCCCTATTTTATAGTTTATCCATATGTATTTCTCACTAGCCTTGAGTGAGGTTGAGAGATGTATTGTCTAAATCACATATGGAGTAATAAACATCCATCATAATGTAATCCATTGTACCAAGAATCTAAAAAAGGGAAAATTCATGTGTACATGTTTTGTATACTATCGCATGTGTAAATAGCCAATTTGTCTGAAAACGCACAAATTTTAATAATTGTCCGCGTAAACATACTGACAAGTGTTGGTAGCATGTATGAAAATGTGTACACCATGCAAAACTTATCTAATTAAAAAGGGAAATTTCTTAGGACAATCTTCCATAAGTCAGCGAGTTTGAGATAAAAGTTAGTTGATCAAAATCTCTTGATCTGTCACCGCCTTATTGAGGATTATTTACCGATGCTGACCCGCTAACTCAAACAAGGTTTTGGAAGTGTTCATAAGTTATCACTAAATTCTATGATGACATGTATGGCGAAGGGAACATGTGATTCAATTGGAGCATTCTTAATTAATTTGCTGGGGAATATTAGCATTATAAGTATTTATGTTTTACCCAAGTAATCATAAGTACTTGTTCCAGAAAAAAATACTCTGTATATCTTAAGTTTGGCCAAAAACCAAGAATGAAAGGCAAATATGTCCTCGAATTATTAGTTATTCTGCAATCAGACCCCTGAATCCAATGACCTTGAAGAATACACTCATCGATCTATAGAAATAAAGCAATTAGACCCCTTTTCACCTACTGGTGCTAGTAACTTCTCACGAGAAAGAAAGTTACTGTCTCACTGGCACCGGTAGGTAAAAATGATCTAATTTCTTTATTTCTGTAGGTTGAGGGGCGTATTTGCAAGGTATTTTTGTTCAATTATCTGATTGTAGAATCACTAATTGTTCGATGACTTATTTGCTGATTTTCTTTTTATTTAATGCTTTCCTACAATGCCTAAACAGAACCATATAGAAGTATATAACGATGATGCACCCCGGGACAGAGGTAATGTCGCCTCTTTGGTTCATGCCCACCTCAAATTTGAAAAAAAATGTATCTCATGTATCGAGAATAAACATGAAAAGAAAAAAACAACTTTGTGTTGCCCAGCGAACATTTGCTTGTGCCTATGCTCGTAGATGGACCATTAGAGTCACTCAAATAGTCTAAGTGGATTGTAGGTGATGTAACAAATTTTGTGAGGTCCATTTTCAAATTGGACCAATATTACAAAAAAATGAGGCCATTAGACACCTCTACATTGCGGAGTAAAAAATGAAGAAGGTGGCCTTGCATGCGAATGACAAATGCAAAAGTAAAATAATGGAAAATTGAAAATAAAGTAAATGAGTGGTGGTCCATTCAAGTGGTCCCATTACTTTTTATTTCAAAATGTCAGACGGTCCAACTGAGGGTCCAAATATGGACATGCATGTGGTAGACCTCCTTCCATTTTTTCTTTGCCACATCAGCTGCACCTCATCTATTCTTTTTTGCATTGGAGAAGCCTAACCCATTCACCAAGTGCATTTGGTGAGGTGGAATAACAATTCACCTCACCATTGGAGTTGCTCTTAGAGTCAGGGCCGTCTAATCAATTTGGAGGCCCCGGTTCAAAATGTAAAAATGGGGCCCCATATTAATATAATTTTTTTTTAAAAAAATCTCAATCTAAATACTTATACTCAAATCAATTGAATATTGATTAAAAGAGAACTAAAAGAGTAAAAGAACCAACGAAAAAATGATGAATCTATATTTTTCTTCCTAACTTGGTAACTACTCCGTATATTTTAATGATTAGTATTAATATATAATATTACTATATAATATTAATAAATTTTTAAAATTTTGGGGCCCCATAAATTTGGGGGCCCTGTTCTGGATAGCCTATTGAACCCCCTAAAAAACGGCCCTGCTTAGAGCATGGAACAAATAAGAAGAAAAACATACACCCATATATGATTTCATATTGAGAAAAAAACGGATATATATGAAGCATTTCACTAATACTTTAATCACTAATTCATAAGCAAAGTTCAAGTGTCCAACATTTGTAAAAAGGTTCCGGTTCAAGGAACATGCGGCACGAGTGTAACATGCAATTCGTAAGCAAAGTTCAAAACAGAAATAACGTAAAATTGCATTGAAAACGTACAAACAAATTGAAACAAAGTTTATTTAATGAATCTTTTTCCCCAGCTTGTTCTTCACAACAATTTGACTGGCAACGAGGTGTTTTTGATCAGACCATGTCAACTGCCCAAATGCATAGCCCCTAGTCGCAGTTTTCCCTGTAGCCTGAACGGTGACCTTAAAGGTCTTTTCTTCCCCATCCTTATCAAATTTGAGTGTATCTGGCTTGACAGTGACGGAGAATCCAGCCGGGGCGGCCACAGAGGCCTTGTAGGTGGCCGGGCCGCCCCCGACGTTTGTGACTCTCCTGGTCACGGTGGCCTTCCTTTTGAGGTCCGGGATGGTGATGGTGGGGTAGTTGAGGTTGGAGAGGGTGAGGCCGCCTTTGGAACAGGTAGTCTTCACATTGAAAACGTCCTTTATGAGAGTTGCATTGTACTCTACCATTGCGCAAAGGAAGAGCCCGTAATCGGCGGGTTTGGTGTCATAGACTAATCCAGGATCCGCAGCCGCGTTCGGGTTTATGTGGCCCGCCCCGTAATTAAATGGGGTTGCTTTCGACCCGGTTGATGAAATTATCGGTGTCTTTGAGTTTGATATTACCCCGGCTGCAAATTGTATATGTATATATGATCAAACAAAATTTATAGATCGGAGGAAGTAAGTTATATACGACAGTATTAATCTTGTAACTTTCGATCAATTTCTCTACCAACATTAACCATTTTCCTACCGGAATACTACATCCGTTCCTTTTCGTTGCATCAGTTAGTATCGCTTTTATGTTTGCTAACATACAATTTTGACTGCGATTATACTTTATTGCGTAATAATAAACATTATAAATTTAATATTGTGGAAGTTCACATGAAAAAAAAATTATATATAAGAATTTGACTATACACATTAGTAGAAAATCATTATCAAATTAAGGTGTGTGAATAGTATAAAATCTAAAGTGTTGCAAGTATTGAAGAGCGGAGACGAAGTATATTATTTCCTACATAAAATTTCGGGTTTAAAGCACCAAACCCTCTAATGATATATTAATTCGGCGCATTAATCACTTGTGATTTAAAAATGCTTTAAAGCCCCTTGTGTTATAATTACTCATCATGCCCAAAACCCTCTCTAAGAATAAATTTTACAATTTTAAAATCACTTATTTTGATAATATGATTTAATATGCAAATAGTTTTGTATAGATTTCTAAGTTATACAAAAATACTTATCATTTTTCATTCATTTGACAATTTGATTTGTTCATAGAGGGGACCTTGCACATGAATAACTATAGCACATGTGGCTTTGATGCTTTTTTTTTTTTTTTTAAATTACAAAGGATCAATGCGCTGAATTTATATTTCACAAGGGTGTTTGGTGCATTAAACCCCCTGTTCTAAAAATCGTTCTAGGCATCCGACTAGTCCCCGCCTAGCCGCTAGGCGGTGGCCGGGCGTCCCGATTTTCGTCTAGGCGCTCCGACTAATTGGTTTGCCGTCTAGGTGAATTAGTCGGCCGCCCATGGCGCCTAGTTGCCTGCCCAGAGCGCCTAATCGGCCGCCTAGACCGTCTAGATTCGCCGAACATTACTTTACTTTTTAATTTTAATTCTCTATACGATATAAGTATTTTAACTGTATTCACAAATATAAATAAATGAAGTTGTAAATTAAGATAAAGACTATATATGTTTGTATATATATATATCTAAATTTTATAATTACTTATATTTATAACATAATGAAGTCAAGTGATTAGTTATCATATACGTAGTACTACGTATGATTAAATGTGATAATTCTATCTTTCATGTTTGTTAATCTATGTGTGTATATGTATTTTATACACATAAAATGCAATATCTATGCCTCCGACTAGTCCCCGACTAGGCGTCCGCCTAGGCGCTAGACGTTGGGCTGGCGCGGGAACACCTTTTAGAACATTGATTAAACCCATAAAAATCCTCTTAGATATATGGAGTAGTACATATATAGTAGCTAGCTTATTACGGGGTCGTTAATATTTAAACCGAACACATGACTTTTTGCATGCTGAAATGTATAATAATTAAAATAAGTAAGGTTAAATCATTTTATATACATATAGACTATTCAAAAATTGCCGACATGACTTTTTTTCATACACTAGCTACATGATTATTAATAAAATACGGAGTACGTATTACTACTTTTTTCCCATTTTAGTGAGCCATTTTGACTTTTTCGATAAACGTTGACCAATTATTTTAATTAATAGATTTATACAAAATTTAATTTACTTTTATTATAATATTTTTTTACAAAGAACATAATATTTTCATACTATTATCATTTTCGTATTATCAATACTTTTATAAGTAAATATATGATCGGTCAAACACAGACACTATTGGCTTGAAAATTCAAGTTTGACCAACTAAAAAGGGATGACAATATATTTTTTTAAAAAATTATATCTTCACATTTTTATCAATTCAACCACTTAAACTAGAAATTTTGTGGGACATACAGGAAAACACTAAGATTTCGTTTGGCAACACTGTTTTTCGGCTTATCAGCCAACTTTTTCACCAAACACGTAAATTTTGCTTTCGCGTGCTGAATTGTGTAATAAGCAGAAAAAGTAAGGTTGAAGTTACTTTCCTGGTTGTATTGGCTAAAGTTACTGTAGATGACATTTTAGCTATTTTTACATATAACCTTTTCTTTAATTTATTACTCGTAATAAAATATATTTTAAAAATATTTTATTCTGAAATCAGCAGAAACATCCAATGCAGCCACTTCAGCCAGAATTTCATAAATTTCAGCCGAATCATCCGATTTTCGTGCTCCTAAACGGGCTCTAATTAGTAATTACCTGTGGTCATGATGGCAGATTTGATTGCAGCAGGGCTCCAGTTAGGATGAAGGGTTTTGAGAAGGCCTACAACACCAGCAACCTCAGGGCAAGACATGGAAGTCCCTGACATTATGGCGAATGGGACCTTCCTCTTATCATCTTCTATGTCAGCTGGCCCTTTCGCTCCGGTGAAGGCCGCTAGCACATTCACTCCAGGGGCAGTAATATCAGGCTGATTATATGCCATGCAAATCGTGGTTAATTAATTAAAATAATTAATAACGATCCAATTAAAGAGCATATATTATATGCGGAGTAGAAATTAAATTAGCTTCATATATACACATGCAAATTAAACATATACTCGTATGTAATATATATACCTTGAGGATTTGTGGAGTAAGAGGATTAGGGCCTGCTGATGAGAAAGCTGCCATGACTGGAGCTGGCTTCACTCCCAACACTGTTTTTCCATTACTAATGCGAGCCACCGGATTCCTGCATGCATGTGGTAATATATGTATGCACGTTTAATTTAGGTAAGGGAAAATTATGATTAGCCCCTAAAGTTGTGTCATAATTATTAATGCAACTTTGCACTTTCAAAAATCAATTAGTTACCCCTGAGTTTTGATCATTCTCACAAGGCTAGAAATGGCACGCAATCTTTTAACATAGAAAATAAATAGACCATTTTTTTAAATTTAGAGTGAATCTAGGCCTAATAATCAAGACCTCTAGCTAGGAAGATAATTTAAACACCCCAAACTTTGAAGATGTGTGATGTAAGTATCTCAAACTTTCATATGTAATATTTATACTCCGAATTTTATCTAAAAAGTAATATTATTAGCACCATGAACATATGTTTTTTTCTTTCACAATGTAAATTTGTGATGCTTTAACTACACCTCTTGAAATGTTTAGTATTTTAAACCATGTGCTTAACACCATAAGTTTACATTTTTGAATAAATAATACTTCCTCCGTTCCTTTTTAATTGCAACAGTCAACATTTCACGTTTGCCAACACACAAGTTTGACCATTAATATCGTTCATTCCTTATTAGTAAAAAAATTTAAAAAATCATATTTTGAAAATTTAGAATAAGAAGAATTTAAAAATATTTTTTAAAAATTTAATTTATTATACATCAATTAATAAAATGTAGTCAAAGTAGAACATGTGAATAGTGCAAAAAGTCCAATGTTGCAACTAAAAGAGAACGGAGGTAGTACATAGTAATGGTGCTAACATAACGCTTTATGTAAAGTTCAGGATATATATGTTACATATGTAAATATGGTGTGTTTACCTCACATTCTTTCAAAATTGGGAAAAATAATTAAAATACCCTAAACTTTGAAGGGGTGTGAGGTAAGCACCCCAAACTTGCATATGTAATTTAAATATCCTAAACTTTATATAAAAAGTTACTTTAGCACCATGGCCATGCATTATTTCTTTCAAAAATGTTAATTTTTGTGTTAATTTCATAATTTAAAATATTTTAGCATTCATGAAGATACAATTCACATTCTAAACTTCAATTGTAAAATAAATAATACTACCCCCACTCTATATAATTGGTGCATTTTTAATTTTTTATTCTAAATTATGCAATTAGCAATATGAATCTACATTTTTGAAAAAAATAATATACAACCATGGTGCTAAAATAACTTTTTATATAAAGTTTAGGGTATTTAAATTACATACAAAAGTTTGGAGTATTTATCTCACACCCCTTCAAAGTTTAGGGTATTTTAATTATTTTTCCCTTCAAAATTTGGGCTATTTAAATTGTTTTTTCGACCTAATATATATATACAATCATTATTATGAGTAAAATAAAATGAATTACCGAGTGGTGTTAAGGTAATTCAAGATTGCCAAACCGGCCTCATAGGTGACGTGTGTAGCCGGGATTAAATGTGCATCAGCAACAAGCTCATTCGCAGTGCTCTTATCGTTTGCAACAATGGCTCCCACAGCACCAGCCAGACGGGCTTGATTGCTCTTGTCAGCCCGCGCAGTCGTGCCCCGAAGGCAAACCACTATTGTCCCTTTCGCCTTTTTCGGGTCCAACGTTCCAGGAAAACAATGCTCACTGTCCCGCCCCACCAACTACCCCATTAAAATTTAATTTATAATACATTAATAAATAAAATAGAGTCAAAGTATGACACGTGAATAGTGCAAAAGTCCAACATCGCATTTATATATATAGTGCAAATCAAATTTGCGCGATGAGGCCGGAATTCGAAATTGTAGATTAAGTCCGGTATAGTAAACTATATATGCATATGTTGTAACTTATACATGCATGCCCTTTTCAATAGTCTAAATAATAAATATATCCATGCACCTACATTTTGATAGAGGAGATATCTTTCATGTGAACACACTTATTACTTGGAAGAAATTACGTGTAGGTAAGTAAAGTTACAAGACTAAGAACGGCACGTGTGTAACTCAATAGACTAAAGATGCCTTTAATTGGATTAAATTTTTCTAGCTTGGTTTGATTTTGTCTATCAAAGTCTAATTTGGTCTATTTCATTTAAATTTGATCTAATCTAATTTGTGACGGATAATAATAGTCATTTAATTTCTAAGCAATTCAACTTCTGTAAATGGTACTCCCCGCTGCCCCGGCAAGGCCTTCTTTTGTCCTAACGTTCCTTAATCTTTATGTTTTGGGGGCAGGCGAGGAAGAAAGGGTTTTGTGGTTGTGCAGTTCATATAATAATGAATTAATTAAGGTGATCGACCTATGATGAAGACTATATTTTCTATAGAAATTGCTCAGAATATGATCGGAAAGCCATAGCCCATAGGAAAAGTCTTAAAATAAGATCCAATATATATGTACCTACCATTCACCTGATTTAAGAATATGATCGCCAAAGGCAAAGTCTAAAAAAAGCATAACTCCTGGCCTATTTAAGAAAGTTTGTACAGTATTTCTAACTAGTAAAAACAAAACGAAAACGTACGCGTATACAAGCTAGTATGTAATGTTTTTGTAGACAAGGAAAAACAAACCGAAAACGCATGCACAAAACAAGATGGAAGATATATCATCCATGAATTAAAGTGTATGTTCATGTATGTATGTATATGCATTTGGCGAGAGATGTGCTTACGCATCGTCAGCCGAAGCGTTATTCAACTTGGCAGATGCCCCATAAATAAGAGGATAGAACTTGTCCTTTTTCAGTCTATATGGTGAAACACTCGCACCCTACACACATGTACAATTAATCTCATCAACCCAAACCGTACATCACAAATGTTATAGGTACCCCAATTTGTATACAAACAATTCATTTGGAAAAGGGCAGAATTTTCTGTCAAAATGCATGTGTACACAGGCAGTGTACACTTGGTGTACAAATTTGGGGTACACCAAGCATGTAACATTAAACAAGATAGGTATACAAGAAACCAAACAAGTAACATTAAACACTACCGATCGACATACAGGTTTACACCACCGAGCAATTCGATGTGTGAAATGTACAAATGATACATTAACTATTGCCTATTGGTAGTGTTTCGTTTTGGTATATAACTTTTAAATGAATCAAATCAGTATCATAACTATACATAAATGTTTCAATTGGCAATATTATTGAAATTTGCAGCCAAAAAATCTTTCATGACGATTAAAATTACATGCGTAGAGTCCGCCTTACGGTGATGGCATGGACAAAATTAAGGTGTGGTGGACTTTACCCACAGAATCCGGGCAGTCAGATATATTTTTATGGCCGAAAATTTGAATAGTTTTATGAGTTAAAATATTTACATATAGTTTAGACTATTTGATTCATTTAAGAGTTAAGGTGCTAAATGCAACAATATCCAATAATTAAATTCCACTCAATTGACCACTTCCTTGCGAAACTCATATATCTCACTTTATTATATACGAGTAGTAAGTACGTAGTATTTAATTTATAACAAAGAGCATTTTTTATATTATTATAAATACGATCATATAAATGTATTTAGGGGGTGTTTGGATCTGATTCTTAAAACTGTTTCTGCTCCCTGAGGGAGCAGAAACAGAAGTTAGAGTGTTTGGGTGAAAGTGCAGAAGTGATTCTGGTGTTCTTTTTTGCTCATAGAATCAGTTTTTTTAGAAGCTGGAGGTGACCAACTTCTGAAAACTGATTCTGATTCTGCTTCTACTTTAAAAAAGAAGCAGAAATAGAATCAGTTCCAAACACCCCATTAAGAAGGGATCAGAGGAAGTAACATACTCATCCGTCAATCATGTTAAATTTTGATCGATTATATATTTATACACGAGAATATTGATAATGTGAAAATGGTATAAAAATATACTATACATTGTTTGCTAAAAATGTTGTCATAAAAATTTACATAAATATATTAGTCGAAATAATAAAACCTGGAAAAGTTAAAGCAAGCTAAATAAAAAGGGCCGGAAGCAGTAAGTACCTCATAATGCTTTTTGTTTCCCAAGACGGCTCTGCGCGGAAAGCTGCGGTCCATGGTGCTGGCCCCGACGGTGAAGATCCAGGGCGCGAGATTGCACACAGAAAACAAAGTGGGTCCGGAATTGCCGGCGGAGGCGACGACAAGGATCCCGCTCATGGCCGCGTGGAAGGAGCCGATGCCGACCACATCACGTGCATAACTGCTCGACGTTCCTCCCAGCGACACAGACAGCACATCGACCCCGTCACCGATCGCCGCGTCGAAGGCGGCGAGGATGTCTGCGCCAAAGCATCCCGCGTCATAGCAAACCTTGTACGCGGCCACCCGGGCTCCCGGCGACCCGCCCGTGGCTGTTCCGTTCCCGAACCCGAACACGTTCGCCCCCGCTACGGCGCTGCCCCCGGCCGTTGATAGGGTGTGAGTGCCATGGCCGTCGGCATCTCGCGGTGAGTTCAAATAGGGTGTGCTTTTTGCGTCACTGCCTGCAACGGCTAGATACCCTTGGTTGAAGTATCTCGCTCCGATCAGCTTGCTGCGAGTCATGTTATTAGATAATTTTTCTGAATTTTGAAAATATGATTCTTTTAATTACCATTAAGCAATGAAAGATATTAATTGCAATTTCAAAAGAATGCATGAAATATAAATTTTCTGATATAGTCCGATCTTGTTGAGTGTATGTAGTTTGTTTCTGGTGTGAATTGTTATGGTCTCATACATATATAGACAAGTTGATCTCAGTGAATTTTACAGTTGTCGATGTCTATGTGGTCTGGTGTATTAAAGTCTTGTCTGTTTTGATTTGTTTAAGTTTAATCTTATTTGGGGCAAAACTAATCGTAACAACTTTCGAAAAGATCAACATATTCTTCTTCAAATTATAAATATTTATACATAAATATATATACACAAGAAAAAAATCAAATGGGCCGAGACCTCATCAGACCTCTACTTTTCTTCAATTCACAACAATGGTAGAAATTTTGTGATGATAATAAAAAATGTAAATTAGCGAAATCAATCGGAATGAGGAATTATATGAAACATACATACATAAGAGCCCGTTTGGTAACACAGTTTTTCGGCTTATCAGACTTATCGTTCAACTTTTTCACCAAACACATAACTTTTGAGTTTATTTGCTGAATTTTGTAATAATAAGAAAAAGTAAGATTGCAGTGACTTTTCTAACTATATCGGCTAATTACTGTAGATGACTATTTTAGCTATTTTTCATGTTATTTTTTCTTTATTTTATTAGTAAAATATATTTTCCATATAATTTGTTTCATAAATCAAACGATTTATCCACTTCAGGCAGAACTTCATAAATTTCAACAGAATCAATCGGTTTGGACAGGAGAATATCATTCTTCTTAAATTAAATACTCCCATGAACCGTAATACTAGTAGTGTTTTAAAAGAATGGGTTGGATAAATTTGTAATAATATGTTGAATACGCTAATAACTTTCAAATCAGTGCAAGTAATAAAAATTAAGAATATGAAATTAGACCACAAAATTTATAGAATCGCATAAAACTAAATTTGATATCGATAAATTTGTGCTAATTAACTAAGAAAATTAAAATTGAAAATTATTACGTTACTGCGTACGTACTTGTTGCACTGAAATTTTAGGTCTGCATCATTTTGGCAAATTCCCTTCCATTTTGCCGGGATTCCTTGTAATCCGTGGTCGCTAAAGCTTTTTGATTCAGGCCATACACCTGCGCATGCATGCATGAATGAATGTACTCGGATGTTTTCTTTTAAACTGTTTTTAGTCTCAGATCAGATCAGATTTTCATAGTTATAAAATACACAGAGATTATATGTTTACCAGACCAATTCAGACCAGACTAAACCAAACCAGATCAGATCAAACCAGCAAATTTTAATCCAAAAGAAAACATCCTGCGTATTATTTTGATTTCCATTCTAAAATTTCAACAATTAGACTTTTATGAGTACAAAATTATCTAAAATATGAAATATATGGAAATATTTTTGCGAAAACGACTTTAAATCATACAGAGTACCAATTATCACACATATAATATAAGTTAAGAATAATAAGTACTTCGAAAATAAATTTTAATAATATTAACTATATGAGTATATAGGAGAAGTGATACAAAATTATTTTTCACTACAAACCCGGTTATTTAATTCTTCAAAAACCAATACTAGTACTCATCAAATATCAAATAATTGATCTCATTTAGAAATAACCTTTATTTGAATTGATGGCTTGATATCGATTTTTGACGTCTTAAATGACTGAAATTCTAGTAAAAAATTAAAGTTGCTCTATATTTTACTACTCATTTGTTACATATTCAAATCATTCGTCTAGATTTATTAAAAATTATTTCAAAATTAGATACCCCTTAGCCCCACGATTAAAATCTTAGTTTGACTTTACGTTCTTTTAGGATGACGTTGACTGTAACAATCTATGAATATATACATGTATATATAACCTATAACATTTAAATAATTCATATTACAATGAAGCACATAAAATTAATTTTGTGTGATACAATATTGCTAATTTTGATCCGTACCCGTATCAATATTGCCGATGATAGTATCTTTTCCAAACTTAGCCTTTTCCCAAATGGAACCCGGAGGGACTGTGCCGTCTGTTTGGTTTTCCAGACCAAGAAACTGCCATGACCTTGTTGTGTGCAATGGTATGGCCTCGTTCAAGATCACTGATACCACTTCCTTACGATCTGCACATTGTGTACCATCTTTAGTTAATTAAGAACTCAATTACCACCCATCCACTTCATCAGTAGATCAGATCAGATCGAGGCAAAAATGGTTAATAACGAACGATTGCTCAATCCATGAAAACAATTTGCTCATATACTTATTATGTCTAATCAGAGAGTGAAAGAAAACTATTGGACCAACTCTTGCTTCTTATTGTTTTTATCATTTCATATTGACCTTTATATATCACATTATTTAGTTTTTAATTATGTATAATTTTCATGTAATGCTAACCGTACTAGCTAGCTAGAGAAGATTTAACACCATTATTATTCAACTTTAGCAATTGTAAATTCCACATTAGTTTAGATGGATGAAGTATTATACGTAGTATAAAGATGATTGATTATGTGACTAAATTAAACTACTTTTATTATTATATGAAAAAATCGGATTTATCATAAAAGTGAAATGTATGTATAGTGATACGAGTGGCTACAGAGTTACTAGATCAGTCAAATAAATGGTTTAGTGAATAATAAAATGTATCTAAAATATTTTCTTATCATAATTATACACTTTTGACCATTATCGATCCTACCGGCCGTTTTCTAACATTCTCGACACGCATATCATTACCCTTATAATGTGCAATGATAAGTTTCATAGTAACTTTCTCCCACTGACATTAGGACAGACAAGAAGAGTAATACGGTTATTAAAAAAGTGAGTTTATATAATTGATATTGAATTGATATTGATAAAATAAAATAAAGTGAAAAAAAATTAGAACCACACAAACTTTAACAAATCTGGTATGAGACAATTTAAGTAAGACGGAACGAATTGAAAAGACACAAAAGAAAGATGAGATAATCTTAACGGGGCAAAGGGAGTATAATATTACAATCATTAATATTAGTCCGGAATCTCCGGATTGATTTTGTCAAATATATTAAAACTTGACTAGCACGCAATGTGGTTTTTTTTACAAAAGTTCATGTATAATGCGAAAATAAGTTTACAAATAGTACCATGAAAAGCTATCATAATATTGAAAATTATAAATTTCACTAAAATTGAAAAGCTTTCATGAAAGAGTCAAAGTTTATTGCAATAATCCAATAAACCTATTGATAAGAAAAGAGAGATCGAACACTTGAAGCATGATAGGAAGGGGTTAGATGATCTGAAACTTATGCCCACGTCTTACCATATTCTACGTATAAATCTGAGATCTATTAAAGGCAATTTATATGCTATTCTCATCAGGGTTATAATGCAGGCCAGTTAATTAGAATTTTATAATTGAATAATTTAAACACATAAATAAATGAAAAAATGATAACTTGGGCCAATCCAATGCATGATAAGTATGATATCCTCAATTTTTTATGATGTCTGATTATTGAGTATTATGTATACTCAATAATCAAATGGGTAAAATTCAAACTGCATAACATTTAGAGTAGGATATATACATGGATTCAGAAGGAAATGGGATATCTTACTAGCAATGTTCTTAGCCTCTTCTTCCTCAAGCGTAGCAACAAAACCATTAATGCTGTGGGTGTATGAGTACACGATTTTATCTCTTGCCTTGTCCACACTTTTTATCGTTGAGATTATTATACAAACATCGAACAACACGTTTTATTAGTTAATTATCCACGTATATATATACATATAAATAAAAACATACGGGGTATTATTTTTTTGAAAATAAGAACATATATGCACCGAAAATCAAAACAAATACTTCCTCTATTTTTTTTTAATTGCAACAATCCACTTTTTACGTTTGTCAACGCACAAGTTTGACCATTAATATATTCCATTCCTTATTAATAAAAAAATTAAAAAATTTGGATTTTGAAAATTTAGAATGAGAGGAATTTAATATTTTTTAAAAATTTAATTTATAATATATTAATAAATAAAATATAGTCAAAGTAGAATATATGAATAGTGCAAAAAGTCCAATGTTTCAACTAAAAGGGAAAGAGGTAGTACGACGTACCTTTCAAGATTTGTTCCAAGCAGGTTATAGTGAGATTCTCTTACTCCCTCAAGCTCAATGGAAGTAGGTTGGTTTGTTTTTTGATACTTTTGAGCTCCCAAGTACACAATATATGTCTGTGTTTTCATTAATAAGTAAATAAAAATCCAGTAAATTTCTAATCAATTCGATCTATACATACAGAGCTAGCAAATATATCATGAAAATACGTATTATGCACGGATAAATATGAAATAATAAAGTACAGAGTACAAAGTATTATATAACATAATTTGGTTTGGTCCTCTTGTTATAAGATGAAATCTCAAATCTTAATATTATGCATATGAGCAACGAGCATAAATACAATAATAACGCTCTTCTTTTTTCCCTTTCAACACAGAAAAAAGAGTAAAATTATGGAGATGATGTTTACCTGTGTTTTGGAGAAGGTCTCTCTAAGAAAGAGTGTACAAAGAAACACTAAAAGAATGCAACAATTATTTGCTGCCATGGTGCTATTTTGGTAAGACTTGAGAGGAACTGGATCTAATAATAGATAGATGGGGATCGGAGCACGTATGTACGTGCTGTGTCCGATTCGTATACCCACATATTGTCCCAAACACGCATATATTTATACTAATTATACACTTTGCAATTTTTATTCCTAATTCTTTTGTAATTAGTCCTACAATATACAGTTGTCATTAATCTTTCTAAAATTGAGAAATACTTTTTTAGGTAAATTCTATGGTACTCATAAGTTACCATACTGTTAAGATCCGGGGTTCCATCCTAAAAGGTCAACCTGATAGGAGGAGTAGCCTGGATCTTAATATAGTGTTTAGTCATTCCAAAGATGTCCGGTGTGGGACATTTAACACCCCTCCTCACGACCAGACACTTCGTCTGGATCGTGTCATCATTCGTATTTTTTTTCATCGGTCCGTTTTTTTCATAATTGTCATTTTTTTTTATAATCGTGTCATCACGATTCATAAGGGGCTCCCACACCATGGATCGATTTGGCTCTGATACCATGTTAAGATCCGGGGTTCCATCCTAAAAGGTCAACCTGATAGGAGGAGTAGCCTGGATCTTAATATAGTGTTTAGTCATTCCAAAGATGTCCGGTGTGGGACATTTAACACATACTTTTGTCAACATGGACCAATGAGCATGTAACAGTTGAATTATTTAAATCTAAATTAAAAATGATAAAGTGATGTGGTCCAATCAAATGAATGATAGGTATGGTACCCCATATTTAAGAAAGGTACCGAAGTTGTCACCATACTTTTATTGGGGGAGGTCAATACGAGTATTTTTATTTGTAACATTACGTAACAGGTGTGCTACTAAATATAAAACCATATCATATAGATTTAGGGTATGTTTGGCACAACTAGCTAAAAAGATACTTTTACGAGCTTTTTAGTAACTGTTAGCTTTTAGTGACTGAAAAGATCTTAAAAAGAAAAGGTGATAGCTGTTTGGTAAAAAGCTGACTGTTTGATTTAGTTCGGTTTGGTATACAAGCTGTTAGGACTAATTTAAACTAAAAGTCACGAGCTTTTCTCAGATGCTACACCTGGTAGCATCTCAAAAAAGATCTTTTAATTTTTGAAAAGCTCTTAAAAAATGTCATGCCAAACATACAACTAGAGTCTTTTAAGGTCTTTTTAAAGAATAGAGAAGCTAGAAGCTAGAGTATTTTGTGTGCCAAACATAGCCTAACTTTTGGTGACACTATTTTTCAGCTTTTTAGGCTTATCAGCCAACTTTTTCACCAAACACGTAACTTTTGCTTTAATTTCGCGCGCTGAATTGTGTAATAAGCATAAAAAGTAAGGTTGAAGTTACTTTACTGGAGTTACTATTTCAGCTATATATACATATAATTTTTCTTTATTTTATTAATAAACTATATCTTTAAAATATATTTTTTTCCCTTAAATCAGCATAATCAGCCAATGCAGCCACTTCAGCTAGAACTTCATAAATTTCAGCAGAATCAGCCAAATCAGCTGATTTTCATGCTACCAAACATGCTCTTAGTCCCCGTTTGGTAGCACCAAAATTGGCTGTTTTGGCTGATTCTACTGAAATTTATGAAGTTCTGGCTGAAGTGGCTACATTGGTTGATTCTGCTGATTTAAGAAAAAAAATATTTTAAACATATATTTTATTAATAAAATAAAGAAAAAATTAATTATATATACAAATAGCTAAAATGGTCATCTACAGTAACTTCAGCCAATACAGCTAGAAAAGTAACTTCAACCTTACTTTTTCGGCTTATTACACAATTCAGCGCGCGAAAGCAAATGTTACGTGTTTGGTGAAGAAGTTGGCTGATAAGCCCAAAAATAGTGTTGTCAAACAGCATCTTAATCTTTATGGCTTGGAAAGTCAATATTTGTAAATTACTTTATTGTTGTAATGATTTAAACCTAATTTCAGAAGGTGGTATCAATAACGAAAATCAACGAAATTGAAATTTTAGGTTTTAATTTCTTTGACCGCAGTATTTGGGAGGGATTTACGGCAATTTCTACGGTAAGTACTCCATTGTAAATGTCTAAATGAGTGTCTTTTTAATTGGATAGTTTTTCTCCTGTGTGGTCTGGTGTGATCGACCTGATTAATTTATGTCTCGCATAATCTGATTTGTTCTGATAAATGTCTATGTGCAAAGTATATTTTAGACATGTTAAAGTTTTGTCTGATATGCGATGGAAAATATACTAAATTTTATGCGATGGAAAATATACTAAATCATATTTGTGTGCAATTTATAAATTTTATACTTTTATGAAAGATTATTTAAGAAAGAGTATGCTCATATAATTTTCAGATTTTAAATAATTTTGTATAAAAATATCATTGGTTTAACTTGACGGCCATTGACCAAGAAAAATCAATTTGGTCAATCTTTTTGGGACAGAGGGAGTATTATTTAATATCATTTTGATAAATAATTACTCACTATTAATAATATAATGTAAGCACAAAACTAGAGAGGGGAGCGACGATGGGGAAATCCTAGCCGACGTCTCCACTTATTTTCTTCTCTTCCTTTAGTACTTTTTGGCTCCAATCGTGAAAAGGAATTCGTTAAAGCATTATTTTTATTCTATATATACGTCTATTTCCTAGCATTATTTTATTTCTGTGGCATTATATACGTCTATTTCCTAGCATTATATAAGTAATATTTTTTATTCTTTATATAAAGCCCAGTGAGTCTCCAATAATATTAATACTACGTATGTAATACTCTCTGTGTCACAAATTGAATTGCAAAATTGACGTTTTAGATCAAACAAATTTATTTTATTCACTTAATTAGTATATCAATTCTTAATTAAATTTTATCTTGAATTTTACAACTTTATAGAGATTTTATTGCAATTTCCGGATATGTAAATTTTAATTATTCAAATTGAATTAATTATAAATAGAGAGGATTTAACTTTGTTATTAGTTGACAAAAAAATATTGACTTTACAAAACAATTTGAAACTGAGGTAGTAGTAATAATAGATTTGATTTTCAAAATTATTATGTAGTACTCTAAGTTGTATTGTACTTCTTAGAAATGGTGAAATAGAATATTATACTCCCTCTGAATCACATATATCTTCTCACTTCCAAAGTGGGTGAAATTAAAAATAGTGAAAGGGGATATAAATTATTGAGTGTATGATGGGAATATAGTGAAATAATATAATGGAATGAAGGATAAATTCAAAAAAAGTAGGTGTAATAATGTATTATTTTTTAAATTATCGACTTATTGAGAGTATGATGGGAAGATTTAGAAATGAGAAGATATAAATGTTACATCCAGAAAAGGAAAGTGAGAAGATATGAATGTTAGGGATGGAGTATTGTTTATTGTACAACCTTACAGAAGTAGCTACTAGCTAGTATAGCTATATGCCATGTAATCTCTAATTTTCTAGTGATTAGCTATATGCCATGTAATCTCTGATTTTCTTAATATACAACCCTACCAAGATAGGCAAGTAGTAAAGTATAGACCGTGAGCCGGTTTGGTAAGATCCGAATTGGATTATTGACAGATTCTATTGAAATTTTTTATGTTAGGCTGGATCAGTTGGATTGGTTGAATCAGATATTTATGAAAAAATATTAAAATATTAAAATATATTTTTATTAATTAAATAAAGAAACACTTATATGAAAAAACAGGTAAAATGATTCTCTACAATAACTTCAGCCAATACAGTCAGAAAAGTAATTTCACCCTTACTTTTTCTTATTATTAAACAATTTAATGCGTGAAATCAAATGTTACGTACTTGGTGAAAAAGTTGGTCGATAAGCCGGAAAACATGCCCACCAAACGGGCTCTATATGCGTGCAATAGATGAATATATACTCATCTACTCCCTCCCGCGTTTATCCCAATCAATTCCACTAATTCAGGTTTTTAATTCTAGTTCATTGAAACTACAAAGTTCTCTCGCGGCCTGGTACCCTCCTTCGTAGGGTTTTGGAGTTGTCTTCGCTCGTCGAAGTTTGAGCCTGCAATTGTTGTCAATTGATTGGCATCTTGAGTGCGTGGTTTTATTCCTTTTCTTTCTTGTGATTAAATTTCAGTGGAGCGGCAACATAAGTGTTCGTGAGGGAGAAGCCTTTTTGCTTTAAGCCTGTTTGCTTGATTCTGGGTTGCGCTTGGCGGTTACCATAGAGAAGATGATGACGACTGCTAGTGGTGATTTGGGTTCGAGTGTGGGACGAGGAGACTTGCATGGGTTTCGAATAGGCCATATTTCAATCGACAATGGAGGATCAATTAGAGAGGTACCAGTAGTGCGACCTCCTCCTGAACCACCGCCATGGGTTGTACGAGAGGCTAGAGTTCGTGAAAGTTTTCCAATAAGTTTTCATTATTTTGTCATTTGTTTTCTTGTTGTCATCTATGTTGTTAGGTTTGTCAGTTTGTTTGGGAACTTAGCCTGATTTTCTATCGTTGAGTATGTTTGGATCTATGGGAATATGGATGGCTGTGTCAATCCCGTTATATGGTTAGCGATTCATGTTGCTAAAGTGACCATTTCTAAGTCTGATAATAGGGTTTACAGTCGTTGTTGTTGGAGT